CACCTCCCCTAGTCGCATTTCAAACATCATCAACATATCTGGATCGGTCAGAAGTTCCAGTCGGATCCTGGTAAATTTAAGCATCGCGTCGTAGGATAGTCCTGGGGATGTTAAATAGTGTGCAGGGTCAAGCTTGTGAGTTTTCATACAATTATCCCTGAAATTCTCGAAAATATCTTCTAGTAAAGCCACATCACTTTCCAAGTAAAGATTGTGATAATCTCGCATTGTTTGGCAACTGAATTCCTTAAACACCAGCTCGGCGTGAGCGTAATCCTCATCGGAAATATGTTCACAGCTAAGTTTGTTGAAAAACGCCTCCTTGTGTGGTAGCTGTGTTTCCTCCAGCTTGGTGAGACCATCTACATAATCGTAGGGATATACATGTACTCTATTCCTAATCATCAGGTCGGTACGATTGCCGAACCACTTCTGAGTCGCTTTGAATTTATCCTTGGTCAAATTCTTTGCCACGTTTTCAGGAGAGGCGAGTAGAAATCGATTGGAGTCAATAAACCTCATCTCGATATCTCCAACCTTCTTAGAGAAGCTGATATATTTTTCATCGGTGTTGGGGATACAGTTAATCTTTCCTTCCCCGAATCCTTATTCCCTCACGAATAAATGGGCATCATACCCACTCAAATTATGAAATACGATGGGGACAAATTTGGGTAGCTGAAACGCTAAATAACATTCATTGTGTGCTGCACCTCGATATTTACCCGTGAGATGATTGTGATCCCGAACCTTATCAAAACCTAAAGTGTTACCACAAATGTGGCAAAGTGTGCTCGCCACGAAATTCTCATTATCTTCATCTGTAATCACCATCGCAATTTTGGTTTCATAGGTTTTGGCAATTTCATCAATTTCCTTTTTCATGTACTCCACGAATTTCTTGGCTGCATCTTCTCCACAGTAAACGACTGAATCTTTGTAGTCACCCTGGACGTATTTTTTATACGGTAGCAGAATCCAGATGGCTGATGCAGTTGATATGCCTTGGTGTAGGCTCGTGATGGATCTGGCTGGCAGGTGTCCATCTTTCCGTAAAACACTCAAAATCTGCGTAAATGGTGAACGGTACCCTCATCTGACGTTGCTGATTTCGGAAATTGTGGAAGGTTCCTTCTTCTGGCATTTCAATTCTGACCGGCTTCTTCTGACTACAATATTCCATGTGCTCGTCTAGGATGTCCTGTCTGGTGAAGTGGCACAAACACCTGCTGCAGAAGAATGCTTCCCCATTATGACTTGTCACCTGAGACGACAAAAGGCGTGATAAGCTCTTAATCCAGCAGTAGTGCTGCTTGTCATTTCTAGTCAAAAACAGGAGAACTGTGTGCTGTGTGCCAGTATTCTTGGAAATCCTCAAAGGGTATAGTTGGAAAACCTCTTCCCCATCTTCACCTTTCTTCACACCATCGAAGCCAAAAACGTTGATATTTAAGTCTGAATTTTGTCGCTCGAATTTGTCAATTGCTTTGAGGGAAACTGGGAATTCAATACCATCAAAGTTAAGCTCGCCTACCCACTGCTTGTACTTTGCGACTCGGTTTGTATGTTTCCTATCAACTTCCGAATTGTGTAGCGCTGATAACACTGCCCACTTGAAGCAGTGATCCCGGCCACAGGTTTAAATTGGTTCAAGTGGATTTCTAGCTGATCAATCTTTCCAAATGTCCATCCACTACCTTCTCGCATGTATTTTTCCAAAATTTCCTTAACCTTCTCTACCATAAGCGAAATCTCGAAATTGAGGTCTGATGATTGGGTGATCGTAACCTGATATGATCTGAAGGTGGGATATACGTGGATATTCTCTCCTGTTGCAGGGTTTGATTTAACGAACTGTACTGTTTATACTATCTGCACCTTCAAGGCTTTCTTTTGGGCGAGGGTACTTTCGATTTCATTGGCTTATCTGAAAAAAAGTTTCCAAATCATGCTGATTGAGTGGTTTTATGACGACTGCGCCAAATACACCCTTCAATGCACCCCGCCGGTCAAAAGTTTCAATTTCGTCTTCCACTGGAGTATTTTCAATATCCCGTTTCACTAATTCAGTTAGGGCTGTTCTCCCAAGTCGTGAATAGTTGGTAATTCCCGGTCTTTTGGCTATGGTCTTCAATTCCTTTTTAGTAAAAACCTCTTCGCAGATATATTTATGGGTAGTTTTGTCCTCAATCAACTTTACCAATTTCCCCTTTTAAAGCCTGCTGTACCCTTTCAGACCCTCCGTCTTTGCAGTTTGTCGAAGCTCCTTCATAGTCTCTTTCACTACCATCTTCCATCCAATTGGGGTGTTGTCATCATCCTCCTGTTGGGGTGGTTGTTTGTTGTGTCTCCAGCAAAGCCCATTCCTTCCTGATTTACTCTTACAAAACTGACCCTTCTTCCTCTTCAATGGAGCACCACAAGTCTGAAATTCTGGGGCAATAGCATTCTCAATACCAATACTCAGACCCACCTCTGTACCACAATGTTGACATATTTGAGTCCTTTCGTCCATATCTCCCATTTGGGATTGTTACAACACTGCTGCTTTTTTGGGGGGTGGGTATTTTCATTCTCAAGATACTCCTCATCATCCTGAAAAATTGTCAAATATTGATCCATGTTGTCAATTTTATTTACCCTAGGATAAGACCCCTTTAAGGTATCTCTATCATTGTTTACGAAAGCCATATTTTGTTTCTACCCTTAGACTAATTGAAACTCAATGTATTTGCATTTTATATTTGAGGTTGGGGGTCCCTATGCAGGATTTACCCTTGAAAATGGAAAAGTGGGACAGAACTCTCATTTTGACACTACTAACACGCCAGTAAATAATGTTGAAGTATTCAATATTAATCAAAACACTAGTCTTATTTCTATACTAGTTTTTGGACTTTTACGAATAATTTGATTTAGGCGTTGAAAACCTTTTTGCAACCCCACACTTATAATTAGTACGACGTGCTAAGTGGTCGTTATGAAATGAGCGCACAAAGAAATTGTCTCGACCACAGTTTTATGAAAACGATATTTTTTTTTAAGAATGTAAATCCAGAAAAGTGCTTCGGACGCATGAAAGTTATAAAGTGTTGTTTTCATTTCTCACAGCACTGGTTAGCATCCTCTGCTGGTGGACTTACAGTCCCCGTGGGTATCATCAGCTCAGTAGTCACTTCGGTAGTGCCATTGTTTATAACAATACTTCCTTAAATTGTCCGTTTATATTTTGGTCATTTAAGGCAAGTTTCCCCCTCTGATGTTTAAAGTTATTTCTATTTGTTTATAATTGACTTAGGGTTATTTGATTTAAAATTCTTATTTAAACACCTTGAAATATAGGTTAAGATCAAAGGTAAATTTGTTGTTCTAGAATTTGACCTTTGCTATCAATTCGAAATACGTGATAGAAGTATGGGGCCTTTTAGTTTAGGTTGGTAGACATATGGCCTACAAGAGCTCAACCGGAAGTTTTTTTGTACACCAGGAGTAGACATTTCCTGCCACTGATTTTTCCTACTATTTTCAAGGTACAGCAAGTGATTTTTTTGTAACAGGAAGTTGCAGTGATTTCCTTTATTTCAAACATAGGTATATAGAAACCATATTTCGGAATTATTGTGAATAAAGCTATTATGTGAGACCGGAAGTGATATTTTCTAAACTGGAAATAGAAAGCTATCTTCTTTATTTTAGACAAAAGTATACATAAAACATATGTTTACTTTAATATTATGAAGAAACCTATGATTAAACGCCAATAGTAACTACGAATAAACCATGTGTACAGTCCTAATCTGTACACAAGTTAATTTAGAGCAGTCCTTATGATCAGGACTACATTCTAAGTTAACTTTAGATAATTTTAGCAAACCTGCAAGTTAACTTTAATCTTAAGAGACCAGACTTATGTTTGCTTTTCTAGGAATGCTGCAGACTAGACCTAAAGACAGATCAGTTTGACCAAATCCGACCTGGAACAGGTCAGCCTGACCGGACCAGATATGTGAACAGGTTAGTTTGTCCATACCATATCTCTGGACAGGTCAGTTATGTTAGTCATGGTGTCAGTTCTGTTTATAAATCGATCCGATGTTTCACTGATCGGAAGTCAATGCTCTAATGATACTCATCAATCATAGCGGTCCTGTTTACTAATTACCTTCAGATTATATCAACTTTACCTGAGAGCAGACCAGACCTAAGTTAACTTTTTTAGAACCGGTCTGGTTTGGACAGACCAGCCCAGATCATTGACGGCTTTTGATATCAGACCTGGACACATTTGAATTAGTTTTTAGATCTGGTTTCGGAAAAATTAACTTCGTTCAATGTATATTTGATACTTGATTTATCATAAAGTTAAATGTCGGGCAGTCATAAAACAGTCCTAAGAAAAAGTCTGCTATTCTAGATAACATGAATTCTGTCCAAGACCAGTTGGGGCAGTCATAAATCATGTCCCAAGTTAACTTTCATCAGTCATAAAGTCTGGTTATTATGTTAACCATCTGTTCAGGTTAGGACTGTACGCATCTGTAGTTTCTTATCAGTAATTTAGAAATTTAATGTGGAAAGACCTCAACCAATTGGTTTTTAATTTTTATGTCTTTTTTAATGTTTGACGTATAGAATGTACATCTGCAAAATTATTCACAACTACTGATAATTTCATCAATGGATATGGAATGCTTGAATTTCCATTTATGGAGAAAAAAACTCTGTCACGAATCCTATTCATTACGGAATAACTCTTGGGTGGGAATCTCTGCCATTGCTTTTTAACAATTAAGCTTTTCAAAATTATATACTTCGTTAAACAATTGATTATGTCGACTATCTTTACCATCAAATCGACCACAAATTAATACCACACGAATAAGTATGAATATAAAGTTATTTAAATAAAAGCTATATCTGATCTTAGATTAATTATGATCACATTTGTAAGTGTAACTTGATAGCTTGTATTTCAATATTTATATACAAACTATTGTGAAGTTTTTATTGACTTCTTAAAATAGTAACACTAATGGAGAGAATTTTACTGAGATTCCCATTTAGCAATTGAACTTCAACTGACTAAACAAGATGACAGGTAAATACTTACTTGATGATATTGCTAATGACTTTTCATTAGTGTCATAATTTATATATTTAAAAAAAAACTAGATCTAAAAGCAGTTAAGTTGAACAACTTGATAAATCCAAAATTTAAGGACTTCTGTATTATACCAAAGTTAGAAGATGATGACTTTAGGAATATTCACTGAATTAAGTACTAGTATTGGGCATTTTGTGTTTATTGAACATACATGCAATGGCTATTACCAGGACTTACGATAGAAATAGGGAATTCATGTTCGGAGAATTTGAAAGTAAGATGGTTTATAACATGAATAATGTATTATATTGTATTTTACAGTTTTATTTGTTTTGAATTACATATATGTGACTTAATCATAAAGGCTCAAATAAGCATTTACAGACCACATCTCATTATATTTCGGGTTGTATTTTTGAGCAACTTTTATTGCATAATAATTTCACATAATTTAACTTACAATTATATTTTGTGCAATAAATTTAAAAGACATTATATATTATTTCCATTGATAGAACATATTATGTCACGCGTGCGTCTATCCCTATCATGTCCGATTGAATAATAGCTATATGACCGTGGGTTTAGCTTTGAAAAAAATATATTGTTGTTCCTTTGTATTTCTAGATGTATTGAAAAAAAAACAAGTTAACAATGAGATTAAGTTCAATGTATGGTACAGGTTTTATTCTTTCTTTTAAATGGAAACACAGACAAACATGTCTGTGCAGAAATACAATTTTTTTCAGTTGAACGTCAATAGACAAAACAAGATGGAAAGTATATAAGAAATTAAAGATATTAGTGATAAGATCATGAAGATTATAACATTAGCAGTAGTTTTGGTATTTTCATATTCAAAGATTCAGATTCAAATCAATTAATATTTACACAATACTAATCAAAGTTAAAATTTCTAATGCATTCAAACCAACGGTAGGTGATATTTAATTTAAGGAATTTTCTTGCTAAAATTTTTCGAATTATGGTTTTCCAAAAATGTATCGAATGGCAACACCTGGATTTACCACATAATAATCCAAATATATTTCGGATGATTTCAGAGGTAGATAGTTGATGTGTTATGCCTTGCAGTCCATTTTTTTAATGATGATTCCTGTTCTCATGTTTATGTTTAACGTGATTTGTGATATATATATATGAATTATATTTTAATTGTTTAAATCAATCAGGCTCGATTTTACCTATTTTGACATCGGACTCGGACTTCTTTTAAACTGAGTTTTACTGTGCGTATTGCTATGTGTTTCTTTTTCTACAGTGGCTAGAGGAATAGGGGAGGGTTGTGATCTCACAAAACATGTTTAACCCCGCCGCATTTTTGCGCCTGACCCAAGTCAGGAGCCTCTGGACTTTGTTAGTCTTGTATGTTTTTTAATATTAGTTCATTTCTATGTTTTGGAATTTAGTGTGACGTCCATTTTCACTGAACTAGTATACAATTTTATTTAGGGGCCAGCTGAGGATCACCTCCGCGTGCGGGATTTTCTCGCTGCATTGAAGACCCGTTGGTGGCCTTCGGCTGTTGTCTGATCTTTGGTCCAGTTGTTGTCTCTTTGACATATTCCCCATTTCCATTCTCAATTATATATATATATAATTTGCGCTTGTTCTAATGAAGTTTGAATATGATATGTTATTTTTATAACAACAACTTGTTTATTACAGACCACATAACACAAAATGTGTCAAAAGAACTATATTGTTATATGTGTCAAAATATAGTAGGGACAGAAGAGCATGTTAAACAAATCAGGTTGTTCAATGCCGCAAGGGATAGTTTGTTAATTGATGAGTATCAAACAAGTGGAAGTTTTGGAGAAGGACTTATGATGCGAGGCAGTGACTTAGATATTATGTCTGTTCGGAGAAATATTGAGGTTTATGATGTGAAGCCCCGTTTAAATCAGCATACAACATATTTGTCAATAGATACAGACGATGTCAAACCTGGATTTACTCAATTGAGACTAGAAGTTTGCAGAAGTCAGAATGTATTTGCCAACTGTGTACAATTCGCGGGTAAGTTTTATCTATCCAACACATTATGGAAACAGCGATTCGTGGAGCACATAGGTAAAGACTTAGTTTTTCACGGACCGTGCATATCTGACAAACATGGAACACATGACTTTGCCGAATGCCTACATTGTAAAACGTGGGTATCGCCTGCAATACATTGGATAACAAGATCTAATACCTCATGGCCCGGTTATGATGTCAAACAAAGTATAATAAGACATGGAGTACTTTTTGTACCAATCGGAGTAAAAGGGTCATCAAAAGAGGATCTAGAATGGAGAATATCATTTTCAATCGGTGAAAAACTTTTAATAAATTCCTTTACACACACTCAATTAGTATGCTACGCTCTTATGAAAATTCTTTTGAAAGATGTTATAGCGACCTACCCCGAATGTAAAGAATTACTCTGCTCTTATTTCCTAAAAACAATTGTTTTCTGGATCTCTGAAGAACTGCCAAAATCTTCATGGAAACCTGACAATCTTATACCTTGTTTTATGCAATGTTTTAGCAGACTGATTTATTGCGTTGAGTTCTCAGTTTGTTTGCATTACTTCATTCCAGAGAACAATATGTTTGAGAATAAAATTGAGGGTCGTGCTCGTAAAGTACTTTTAAAAAAACTACATACCTTGCATAGTTATGGTTGGAGATGCATTTTATTTTCAGATCAAGTAAACAATGTTGCCGCATCAATGCAGTTTTTCTACATGGAACAGAATCAATTGCATGTATCTAATATTACAAAAATAACGAATTCCCATTTATTTCAAGCATCAAATTTTTGTTTCCGTTTAGGATTCAATGCCAAAAAGATTTCGCTTAGTTCTTCGTTGAAAAGGATAATACAAAAGGCAGTTTCAGTTGATAAATCTTCAATAAAATACGTGTATACATACTACATGTCAACATTATGTGCATTCTGTGCTCAGTCGATTCCAATTGACAGTGCATACAGAAATAATAAATACCGATACCGACAGTACAAATCATGTCTTTGTACTCTGCTACAAAATATCTATCATGACGCTGTATCTGGATGGCTGATGATAGCTTCGTTCTTTTATAAAACAAAACAATACTCAAAATCTTTACGCATTATCATGTATTCCTTATCGAAATGCACTGTTGAAAAACTGTTTCGCTTTATGAAGATGTCAGACAGTCATTACGGATTGTTAAAACTGAAATTATTCCAGAAGAAGAGTATTGTCAATTTATGGAAATTAATTCTTGTAGATAATATAAAGTTTGATAAGAGCTCTCTATTGATACCAGATGAATTGCTAAAAGAGGTGGAGGGTAGAGAATTTGTGGTTCCATCTACAGCTTATGCGTATTTCCTTAATGTTCTTTGTCATTATCATCTCAATAATGTTAGAAAATGTCGGGATATTCTCCAAGATCTACAATGTGTTATAGATGAAAAATATCTCATGAAAAACTTGAGTATGATAGCTGTATCCTATAATCTCCTAGGTGTTGCGTTGCAAATACTAGGCGACACTGAATCCGCACGACAAGCATTCTTGCAATCTGTTGAATTAAACAAGTACCCATCCCGTATTTTTGCCGTAAAGAGACTTTTGTTAATGAGTTAAATGTAAAATTTGTGCGTGTATTGTGTCACCGATATGATGATACAACTGCATTTTTCCAATCTTTTGAAACAAACAAACACCACGGAAATTCTTGAAATTCTTACAATGAAGGTCTATAGGAATTAGTGTACTATTATAAATATCTACAAACGAATGAATTGTGAAAGTTACAAGAAATAGCAATGTAATGACGTCTTTTTTCTATGTTTGGATTAGCTATTGATCATGTTGATATCAAATTGCTGTTATCTTTTATTAAAAAAAACAAATGTTTATTTGTATCTGTTTGTCTTTTTTTTAACGTTCCCAGTGCTGGCTTAAAAGTTTACAAATTACAGTTAATTGTCAATTTATTGAAATGTACAGATGGATGCAAAATTCGCTGTTTCAGCATTACCAAACCTGTTCCGTTAAGACCTTATATTTTTTATTTATAATGTACTTCATTTATCATCATTTGTTACGTGGCTGTAAGTTAGTATTTAAACTTCCATTAAAACATAGTAATTAGTAATAATTCACAAGATTCTCTATGACTTAACAACAGAATTAAAACAAACAACTTATTTAGGCACACATGCTGTCTTAAACAACAGAATGGCGCCTATAGAATACGAGTAAAAATCTAAGAGGATGCTCATTACTTTCCAGTAAAAGTCTGAAATTGCCATTTTTGTACTCGAGGGTACTGATTTTTACTCCATCATTCTGAATTGGTCTGAATTTTATTTGATATTAAACAACTGTTGTGCTGTTAACGTCTGAAATTGCCATTTTTGTACTCGAGGAAACTGACATTTACTCCAGCATTCTGGAATGGTCTGAATTTATTTTATATTACACGACTGTTTTGCTGTAAAAGTCTGAAACTATCATTTTTGTACTCGACGGTACTGATTTTTACTCCAGCATTCTGAATTAGTCAAAATTGTATTTGATATTAAACGTCTGTTGTGCTGAACAGCAATGCATAGGAAACAGTCTAAACTTAAACCTTATCTCTACCATACGGAACAGTCAGAATTTATCATCTATTTTTATATTGATTATTCTAATCTGACAAATCCTTTCTTATATAATACCTCTTGGTCAAATTTCTAGGCAATGGAAACATATCTTGTAAAATATTACTCTAAATGGAAGAAAATTATAGAGATATATGAATAATAGGTCAAGGATCGTTAAGACTTGGTCGAGAATGGTCCAGACTTGGTCGTGTATGGTTCAGACGTGGTTGACTTGGTCGGGTATGGTTCAGAATTTGGTCGAGCATGATTCAGACTCGGATCGAGTATGATTCTGTCTCTGGTCAAGGTATGATTCAGATTCTTTAAAATGTAAGAACTGGTCCAGTACAGGTCGAGATTAAGTTCGGACTGATTAGCATGGTTCAGACTAGAGTCGTGTAATATTTAGTAAATTTCTGACCAATGCAGAAAGGTCGACAATAATTCAGTACAGTCTAGTACGAATACTGCCCACTTCTAGTATACACGTTTGACATGGAACGAAAAAGGGAAAGATGCAACTTTTAATATCATTAGATACTTAGAAAAGTACATACAAATGTAATTGGTGAAAAAGCATATACATTTCGGGGTATAATGGGCAACGGACGATTACCATTTTTCATTAGCCGGTTTGGGTAGATATAGCAGCCCTGTTTCGAGAAGAGCTATTCATGTTTTTCTTAGTTTCTATTAAAATTATCATTACATTTCATGCTGCTTTAAGTATTTAACATACTGGTCACACCTGAAATATTGCATTGGTGTTATAGCAACGTTTTAAAAAGTGGGCAGTATTTGTACTAGACTGTAACTGAAAATGTTTATGCATATGAAAACAAATATTGATTTCGTGAGCTGATATTCCCAGTTTAAAGGTAAAGTGTATTGTACCAATCAATAATTTTTCTCGTTTTTGTTCCACAAAAATATACATACGATGTACGATATTCAATCTTATTATTAGATTACGCGCACCAAACGGAATTCTAGAATAACCTGTCCTAATATTTGTTCAACACATATGATAAAAAGATACAACATGATTATCCATATTCAAGAAATCGACACTTTTCTGGATATTCAGACCTCATCATAACTACAGAAAATATTTCATTTTGTATTGAACTTCAGAATCATACACATCACGTTTTGCGCAGGCGTATTTGTAACATTTGAATAGATTTTTTTAATCGGAAGAAGATTGTACGGAAATACCAATTTCGGACCTATATGTAAACCTTAACCGACGTGGTCACACGTAAAATATTAAAAGGAAATATTTCTAAAACAATTAAACAATTTTTATATTGAATTATCATTAGTTGCTGTTTCCGCATCTATGATTGCATTTAAAATGTAGAGTACAAAAAGTAGATTAAAAAAAATCAATATAACAATATGTTATAAATTTAAATAGAAAAAACGATCATATTCGGGGTTACCAACAATACATTAAGTATGTATAACAGAGGTATATCACAGACATATAGACTCAACATATCGATTAAATGCATGCATTTCTAATCATCAAAACAAAATAACTGTGTTGCCTTTACAATGTTTGATTTTTTCTGATGAATCCGGATGTACATTTAATAAGTAAACTTATAATATTTCACCTAATGATACGTTTAAATTTACTGGCTTACAAATCTAACGATACAAATGTTTTAGATGTTTTAATGGGTCACAGTTAAAAGAAAGAAAAAAGGAAACTTGATTAAATACCTGGTTTCAAACATCATACTCAAATAACACCGCAACGAGACTCAAAGCAAACGAGGATGAAATAGTTCATGAGATGTAGTTTTGGATAATATTGACTATTTTAATCAAACACCTCGAGAAGTGGCTCGTATTGATGAAAAATCCTGTGAAACGTCCTCGATCAGTAATATTCTATAATTAAGAAGTTATGCATCGATCGAAAATATTATTTGACTTTTTAAGCAAAACAACTAGCTGTCAAAAGAACGAACAATACGTTTTAAATTTATAAATTGCTGGTTCTTTTTTTGCAGGAACTAATTCTATATGTATAAAAAAGTTGTTCTTAAGCAATAAATTCAGATAGCATATTCATAAAATAACTAGCATATATTTCGTCGTATGCTTTACTGGCTTATTTCAGCAAGTGTCACAACTTGGCTTGTATAACCTTTAGAGTACATGAAACATTTTCCAAAGCATTTAAACAAAAACAGTATCTGAAACAATTCCATAATTAGAAAAAAAATGAAATCCAATATGGATCATTTGATAAATTTAGCTAAGTCGTAAGAATTGCGTATAATGCGTGTAATACCCGAGAAAAATGACTTTCCCTTTCCATGCTAAAATAAGGTTATGTCATAACATTCAATTCTTATAATATCAAAGAGTTGTCAATGCTTTATACATGTAAACTATACCCGAGGCTGCAGGAACAATGAAGGCAGAATAAACATAAGATTGTGTATGATTGCCAATGAAACAATTCTCAATCAGAGATCAAATGAAAATAGAAGTTAACAATTATAGGTCCCGTATTGTTTTTAACAACGAACAAAATCCATACCGCATACAAGTAAGTTGTAATAGGTCTCAAAATGACAAATTTAAAACATTTCAAACGAGAGAACTAACAAAAGATTTATGTACAAAACAAGAAATTAAAAAAAAAATGATACAACAACTTTTTGTTGTTTTCTTCTAATTTCAAGTCATTGTCAGTTTCACTTTGAATAATTTGTGTTGAATGTCCGTTTGGTATGTTCCTCCTCTTGCAATAGTCAGAGCTATTGCGCAATTGATTAACTGTCTATGGACATTGACAATTCAAAACCTAAGGCAAATTTTGAACAAATGAACCAACACTAATAAGATATTTATAGGCAAACCTGGACAAGTAATTGGACACTTAAGATTCAAGCTATCATTTTGCTACTTCATGTTCACTTAACCGTTGATAAAACATGATACATGAGTGAAATAACCTCTCTCACTTAAAGTTCATAATTTGGTTAAATTCATACTTTGAGATAAAATTGATGATTGAGTTAAAATTCGACCTATACTTAGATTTCAAGCTACTGCGTTTCTGTCGGAGATCTAATTTGAAATTGCGATAAATTCTAAGATCCACTCTCAATTAAACTTTGAATTCTTCAGTTATATTGAAGACTGGAAGTTGATATGTTTAAGGAAAAGACGAAAACAAGTTTGGAATAAGAATTGAATAATTTCGGGGAATATTTTATCAAAGAGCGATCCACTGGACGTTAAGCAACCAACAATCAATCAATCAAAGAGCGATTAAAAGAGAAAAAGCAAGACATTTGAAAAATACCAGACTTGAGGAACTTTTCGGTTTGAAATATGAAGCTAAAAATATTAAAAAAGCAACGGATACCAAGTCTGAAACAAAAAAGGAATAGTTTTTTTTTATAATTTCCTGCAAAAGTAATTTATAGAATCTAAATTTGGACAAATATTATCTATTTAAATCAAACACTTCGGAAAGTTGCTAAAATTGATGAAAAATCCTGTGATATATCATGGATCTGTACTATTCTATCATTAAGAAATTATGCATTGGTGGAATCAATTATTTCACTTTAAGTAAAACAAAATGCAAAGCTGCCAAAACAAGAAACAATGTTTTAAAATAATAAATAACTGGTACCTTTTTGCAAGAACTAATTCTATATAAAAAAAGATTACTGTCGAAAGAAATAATCTTCAGATATTATATCTGCAAAAGATTTGCCATTTTTTTCTTTCTTTCTGTTTTATACTTAACGAGACGGATTGGTTTTCGTTACCATTAGAGTACATTAAACATTTGTCAAAGCATTTAAACCAAAAACAGTATATGAAGCCATTTTATAATTAACAAAAATTGAAATCCGAAATCCATTATTCGATAAATTAAGCCAAATCGTGAAATTTAGTACAGGGCGTATAATACCCTCTGTATTCAAAACTGTTCTCAAGATTTTCCCTTTCTAAATGCATGTACACTATATCTTAGTCTGCGGGAACAATGACCACTACACTATTGAAATATAGTATGATTGTCAACGAAACAACTCTCCATCCGAGACGAAATAACATTGAGCCTATCAATTGTATGTCACCGTACTACCGTAAGCAATGATCAAAACCCATACCGCAAAGTAAGCTATAAAAGACCCTCAAATAGAAAATATAAAAGAAATCCAAAGGAGAAATCAAACAGACTGATTTACGTACAAAACAATACACGAAAAGCACATATGATGTTCAGCAAG